CAAATTTATTGTTGATCGTAAAACATGTGACTAGTAATAAGCAGTATAGTGGTGCGTTTTTTTTGGAAGCCACTGTACATCTCCATATATCTCCATTCGAAAATAATAAACCATCACCAAAAAATTCGATCAAAGTTCATGAAGAAGGCATACTAAGTTTTGGAGGATCATCATCCTCTATAAAAATAATTTGCTTAATTTTTTTTTTTTACATTAAGGCACGCCTATTTTTGTAAGTAATACTTAAGAAACGCAGGATTATTGATATTAATGGCGTGGCGTTTTGACTAACGATGAGATTCTAAAGGAAAATTAAAATTTCAAAGTAAAATAATTATTCAAATTAGAGTATTAATTTGAACAAACCAAATAAATATCATAATCTCCTGAATATTTTGCAATTGTCTCTTCAATTACGTGATGATGCTTTTGTTGTAATAACGCGACGCCCATAATATAGGCAAAATTGAAATGTGATGGAATACCTTCAAGATTCTTTTGGTAGTTTATTTTTATTATGAATGAAATAAATGATAACGAAATAATGATAATGGATATAATTACGAACATTTTTTATAGTTAAACATTCAAAGAAACAAAGAAATTCTATCAAATTTTATATAGTGCTGGTATTCAATTCGTAATTTGGATAGAATGTCACTTTCACGATGTCGATCATTTCTAAAATTCGTGCTATAAATTTATTTACTTTTTGGCATCTAAATATATATATAGATAGAAATATTCCAACAATAATATAATATATATTCTTATGGTGGAATCATTTGACGGAAATGTAAATGAAAGATAATAAGCGACATACAATGCTTCTTAAGATTATACAGTCAACGACCAAAATTATGCGGACATTTTTAAAATCAAATAAATTATATACACATAATATAATAAAAATAAGATTTTAACAAATATAAATTCAAATATATCTTTATTTATTGATTTATGAAAAAGTTTAATATTAATCCTATTTCTATTTGTGGCAATAACTGCTGCAATTCGCTGTGGCATGCTATCGATCAGTTTTTGTAATTTCCAGAGGATATCTTTCCATGCATCCTTTACATACTTTTCAAGTACTTTAATACTAGATGGTAGTGTTAAAGAACCAGTTTCGCGAAAATGTTTAAGAATACTATAAACAGCCATTTTACTGCACCCATGGTATGATCTGACTGTCTACATTTATAACAGTAAGCAATAGCACCACGAGTTTCAGGAGTAAGTACTTTCATATTTGGCATGAACTTATTTAAGAGAAAATGTTTGAAGTATTGTTTATCATTATAAGTAAAAAATGACGTATTATTTTTATTATATAATCACGTGATGATATGCCTAATTTTGACAAATCAAAATGTCCGCATAATTTTGGTTGTTGATTGTATAATTAAAATTAATAAATAAAATAAATAAAACTTACTAGTAGTAATAGGATAAGCATTAGAATTTGTATGACGATAATATTTTTTTAATTTTTCTAATGCTACTGTAATATTTAAAATATTAATAAATAAAATATTTTTTATAATATAAAAAATAAATATATACTCACAAACAATATATGCACTTTGCTTTTTCATTTTCTATTCTAAAATGTTTCCAAACTAAACTATATATTCTTGAAGAGATTTCAGTCTCTGTTATAATATCAAGTTCATTATTATTATCTTGTTCGATAATTTATTCCATAATTAAATTATAAAATTGATTTTTAGCAAAAGAAAATAATTTTAACAAAAAAGAAACTAACTCAACAAATCTTTTTAGATTTATACTTTATTCCTTATTCTAAATTTATAATTTATAACGAAATGTTTAGATAATTTTAGAAGAATATAACTAAATTTCAATTTGTGTAACAAATAAACACAATGTATGAACAATTTAAATTTTACATTTTGTATAATTTATTTTTTTTTAACGTCTGAAATGGTACTTTTATAAATAAAATTTTTAATACAAAATAAATTTTTTTATTTATATTTAATGCATATTTTAAAAAAATGCATAAAATATTAATCAAATAAATATTAAAATATAATTTATTTAGATTATTATTAGTAAAGATTATTTAATTATTATTGATCACATCATCAATCAGATGCATTGGCTAAAAATTTAACTTATTTAGTAAAGATATTTAATTGATTTGTATATGCAAATAATGTTAATCAAATGTAAAACTTGTATTTATGCATATTAATTATGCATGTTAATCAATTTTAATAATGTTACAAAAATACAAAAAAAAAAAAAATCAAAATAATTTCAAAAAAAATAAAAAAAATAAAAAAATTGAAACAGAGTTTAAAATTAGAGCAGAGATTAAAAAATAAATCTCTACTCTAATTTTAAAACTCAGTTCTAATTTTTAAACTCTACTCCATTTTTTTACTTTTCAACCTCTGTTCTAATTTTTTGGACTCTGTTCCATTTTTTATATTTCAACCTCCGTTCTAATTTTTGGACTCCGCTCTATTTTTTACATTTCAACCTCTGTTCTAATTTTTGGACTCCGCTCCATTTTTTACTTTTTAACCTCTATTCTAATTTTTGGATTCTATTCCATTTTTATATTTTAACCTCCATTCTAATTTTTGGACTCTGCTCCATTTTTTACTTTTTAACCTTCATTCTAATTTTTGGACTCCATTCTATTTTTTACTTTTCAACCTCCATTTTAATTTTTGGACTCTGTTCTATTTTTTACTTTTCAACCTCTATTCTAATTTTTGAACTCCGTTCCATTTTTTATTTTTTCAATCTCCATTCTAATTTTTTAAATTCCACTTTATTTAGATTTTTGGGTTATTTTTTTTTATAAACTTTACTAATAATTTTAATTTTTTAATTTTTTTAGAATGATTTTTGCATAGATTTTTGTTTTATCTTTTTGGATTTCTAAACTTCAAGAGTGTATTTTTCAAAAAAATATTATCATTTGATTTGTTGAATTCTAATTTCAAAATAATTATAATTAATAATTAATTGTATTTTTTTTTAAATATTATACTGGATTCTATAAAACCAAAAAAAAATTATGTAT